TTGTCAAGAGTTAAGTGCTCGTATTTCATTAACGACAAAGGGAGAAGGATTTCATAGGTTAGCTAACAGAGTGTATTATTAGAATATTAAGAAGAATCTCATTTGCTTGATTAATTTTTGGTAATTACTTACCCCCTTTCTCTTTGGCCAATGTAATTAATCGAAATTACTTGATATGAAATATATTGAGATTCAAATAATTTTTATATTTATGTTTGTTTTCTTTTCACACAGGTTCTTAATGTATGAAATAAATTTAGATGATTTGATCGATGACTGTTATATTGCACTTTATTTGCGACTACCACCTGCCTTATATACTAGTATAGATGAACTAAATGATCTAAAACGATCAGGAGTTGTAAGTAACTAAATTAAAAAATTATGAGATGGTTTATCACTTTTGTTCTTTTAATTTTTATTGTGATTTTCATTCCAATTTAGAATACTATATGTAGTTTGGGAGAAACTAATGTTGAATTATTTATGGAAAAAGCAAACTCTCAAAGTGTAACCATTTGTTCACCTTTGACCAGCAAAAAGTTTATTTTCAACTTTCCCATTCACCAGCGTTATCAGTATGCTAGTGACAATAATAAATACATGAATATTACTTTGCCAAAACCAAATTTACTTTTGGGTTGTAAAAAGAGAATCAAAGAATATAGAATTTCTACAATTGATTTGTGTCCTCCCTGTGTAGAAGTTGTAAATAAATGGAGAGAAATTCCATATATTATGGTAAATAGCAAATCTCATTGCATAAAACTATTTTATTTCCTAATTTTTTATAATAAAATATACATCAATCTTCATGCATTTTCTTTTCAGGATACTGGAAATGTTACATGGACAATACCAGTTGGTAACTCGTCTATATTAACTACAATAACCTACACTACATTAATATCAACAATATTGTGTTCATTATTCCTTATGAAAACAATTTGTAAATCTGCGTTTATTAAACACGAGAAGGAAGAATGATATATTTATAATATGTCATAACTAATAATACAACCAGATAGTGCATGTCTAATTTGCGAACTATCATTACAAAAATTCATTATGTGATAATAAATAAAGATTTGTATTAATTTTTACTAAAATTTTTGTTTCATTATTGTTAAAATGTTTAGATATCGTACATAAAAATGACAATCTCTGTCAAAATTTGTTTAGACATAATTCTTAAAATTTGTTCCGTTCATTTATCTAATTGAGAGTTTAAAAAATTTGTTTAAATTCTCGTTAGAATTAAATAAACTCTTGTTTGCTCGTGAAAATTTAATATAACTCTGATTTCTCATACCATCTATTATCTACATATATCAAATTTTCACAATCGTCGATCAGTTTGAATTGTGGTACTTCCCGTCCACGTATTAGACATACCAACATCATAAATATTGAATATAATGTCGAAGCAAATTTTTTGATGCAAATCAATAATTTTGTTCAGTACTGAAATTAAAAGAAATTAAAACGAGTTAGGTGAGACCTGTATTGAGCTTAAAAGAAATCTTTTTAAAGAAATTAAGTAAATAAAATACAAGTTTCTTATGTAACATATTTTGACAACTGTGTATTTCGAACTAACCCTAAGTTTCCGGGCGCACCACTGCGTAAACTTGCGTTTGCTTTTCTGATTGGTAGAATGTAATGAAGAATACATAAACAGTTGGTTCACCAATCAAAGATTAGGACGTGTATAAATTTTGCGTGAATTTGTGGTAATGTGAACAAATGTTTATGCCGGCTTCCACACTGACATCTGCCACTGCCACACAATCGCAAGTTTGAAACGTGGATCTGCCGAAGCAGATTCGTTTACACATAGAATACGTATGGGACATTTAAAATAATTTTTAAATATGGAGTACATATATCGGTTACCATTCACAGTACTGGAAGTACCTAATTTAAAATTAAAAAGACCGTCATGGTTTGTGAAACCAAGTGCTATGGTCGTCTTTTCATTCATACTTTTATCGTATTTCCTAGTTACAGGAGGTTAGAATTGTAATATATATATTCTTCATAATGTTTTGCCTGTACATAACATTTATGAAAATTATTTTGTTAAAGGTATTATATATGATGTAATCGTGGAACCTCCAAGTGTAGGATCAACAACTGATGAACATGGACATACGCGACCTGTATGTAAAATTAACAAATGTAATAGTTTACACTTCTATGAGGTATGCTGTAATAACTGTGTATTTATTTTATTTTAGGTAGCATTTATGCCATATCGTGTAAATGGTCAATATATAATGGAAGGTCTAGCCTCTAGTTTTCTGTTTACATTAGGAGGAATCGGTTTCATAGTACTCGATCAAACACATAATCCATCAACCCCCAAATTAAATAGGATCTTATTAATATGTGTTGGATTTATCAGTGTTATTGTTTCATTTGCTACTTGCTGGATTTTCATGAGGATGAAGCTACC